TCCTCTAGAGCAGTTTTGAGAGAAGATCTCATTGGTAGCGATTCAAGTTGCAGTTTATTGGCAATAGCAATCCAGACCCTGGGAGCATCAATAGCAAAGGCCCTTCCTCCAGTTTTTGTATGGCAATAGGGAATGTGAAGCTGGTAAATGAGCAAAGACCTGAGGTCAAATTTGTTCTTTGAAACAGAGAGGAGATCCAGCAGGTAGTCTGCGGATGTTTTTGTAAGTACATCGTGAATAAATAAGATCTGGTGCACAAGCCGTCGAACATTAAGATATGTTAAGTTTGACCCAATGTAGAGATCATAGTGGTGAGTCCTATATGGGCAGTTCAATGTAAATCTTAAGGCCGAGTGATAGATGGAATCACGCTTCTTCAGTACAGTACTTGGGGCTGTTTTATACACGATGTCACAGTAGTCAAGTAGAGGCAGTATGGTAGCTTTAATAATTCCAAACGGAACATTGGGGGGAAGCAGTGCTTGTGTCGATACAGAACACCAATTTTTATTTTTGTCTTTTTACCAATATAATCAATGTGATCTTCAAAATTCAGTTTTTAATCCAGGAAATGATTCAGAGAATCTAATGCAGCAGATGTGGTGCTGTATTTTTTTCGGAACCCAGATTGTTTTAGATGTAGTAGATTGTTGGTTGCTAATTTGGTAGGTTAATAATTTTTCAAAAATTTTCATCAACGGGGACAAAATTGAGATAGGTCGGTAGTTATTTGGATCATCTTTAGGGCCCCCTTTGTGAAGTGGACGGACATAGGAATGTTTCCATTCTAGAGGAACTGATGCTTCTTTGATGGACAGGTTGAAAATATGGGCTATAGGTTTGTATATTAGGCGACCAACAGTTAGTAGAGCAAAGACGGGAATATTATCTGCTCCCGTAGAGGAGGACCCTTTGAGGTAGGACAGTTGTTTCATAACTTTACTTTCGTGGATTGGCTGGAAACGAAATTCGTTTAATGTTTGGACAGGGGTGTAGGAATTTGCATGAGCAGGGGTGACTCCCAATAAATTATCAAAAAGAGTACCAGCTTCAGAAAATGAAGGTTAAAATTGTCAACTATTTTTTTGGGATCTGAAAAATATTCCCCATTTCAGTTAAGCTCAACGGGCAGATTGTCTGTTTTGGATGCCTTTTCGATACATTTGATTGTTTTCCAGAAAATCCTGGCATTTCCATGTGATTCCAGGAGAGTGGAGGAAAAGTAGGCATTTTTTGCATGCCATATTTTTTTGACGCATCTATTCCTTAAAATCTTGTATTCTAGCCAGTCATTGACCAAATTACTTTTCTGAGCACATGCCCAAGCCTTGTCCCTAGTTTTAATGAGCTTTGTAATCAAAGGATCAAACCATGGTGGGCGGCTGCCTTTAGTTTTAAATCTAACCAATGGAGCATGTTTGTTAAGAATTTGGAGAAACGTGTACCTGAAGGTCTCCCAAGCCGTAGTCAGGTTGGGGATATCACAGACCTTGTCAATATCCGAGTGAAGCACATCATTAGTAAATGCCTGAGTGCTCAAGTGTCTCATAGAGTGCTTCTCAACCAATTTAGGGGGGGCTTTGGGTCTGGCTGATGATCTCACCCCAAAAATGAAGGAGTGATCACTAAGGTTATTACCCAGAACACCAGTCAGTGTGAAATTGTGAGGGGTATTTGTCAATAGGACGTCAAGCAGAGATGACTGTCCCGGATTTTTTAGGTTTGGTCTTGTGGGGACATTTATTAATTGAAACAGGTTAAATTAATCTGCAAAAATTGTGGCCATGGCCGGCGGGTTTAGCCAATTTCAATTTAGATCACCCACTAAAACTATTTCACCTTCAGGGAGGCCCCCAAACAGCTCTCTCAGTGCAGACGCAGCTTCAACATCCTTCCCACTAGGCGGTCGATAGCAGCACACTACCAATATCTGTTGATTATTTGGGAGAGTTATTCTGAGAGCCAGACCTTCAAAGCAACATTTTTTAAACAAGGAGTGAACTAGTGAACATGCAATAGTATTACGAACATAGATGGCAATTCCACCTCCTTTAGATCCTCGGTCAAGCCGAAAAAGGTTGTAGTTGTCAATCGTAATGTGCAAGTCATTGATGGCAGGAGTGAGAAATGTTTCTGTTAGGCAAAAAATGTCCGGGTCAATATTTGCCACTTCTAGTTTTAGTTGACTTAATTTAATCACAAGCCCTCTGATGTTGACATGTAGAACACCAACACCTTTCCTGCCAGAAAAATCTACAGAATTATACGAGTTATTTTCATTTGGGCCAGGATGAAGCTGAATACCAAACAGAAATAAGAAAAGTAGAATTAATAGCTTGCACAAGTATTTTCTGTGAAAGGATGAAGAGTGGCGAACCTTGGACGAATAGCAGTAGCTCGCAGATGGTGTTATTTTTAAGAGCAGAATGAAGTTTGGAAGGAGTGCTTTTGAAGTAATGGGACAAGATAGGGTTTAAAAGGATACAATGATGGAGTGTAGAAGTGTCTATAAGCTTTTTTCTTTCTTGGTTCTTTCGGTAAAGTCACGTAGAATGAGAATAAAATAATAAATTGATAAAATAACACAATAATATTCTCACGACGTTTTGGCCACAACACAAGCGGCCTTCATCAGGTGAAGGGACGAGACTGTCTGGAGGACAGCGCTGGAGTGAAAAAGCCACGCTCAGATCGCGACCTTTAAGCTGTGTGAGAAGAAACAAAGCGCCTTGACAAAGGAATTAGCATAAAATTAAGCATTGGAGAATATATAGAGTTTATTGATAACATTGAGGTAATTTATATTTTAGCTTTTTATTGGTTCACTATATAGTATTCATTATATATTGTAGTGTATACCCAGTTACTGTGAATAGCTCAGATGTGTAGGCCTTGACTTCAACATAGCCATTTCTGTGACCAGTCACAAGCTAATCACTCAGTTATGTCAATGCTAAATTCGCCTAGTTATTTCAATGCTAAATTCTCCTGTTTGATTTGTACTAGGTGTCTCTGTGAATGTCTATGCTCGGACTTTAACATAGCTATTTCTGTGACCAGTTACAAGCTGATCACTCAGCTATTTCAATGCTAAATTTTATGCTAATTCCTTTGTCAAGGCGCTTTGTTTCTTCTCACACAGCTTAAAGGTCGCGATCTGAGCGTGGCTTTTTCACTCCAGCGCTGTCCTCCAGACAGTCTCGTCCCTTCACCTGATGAAGGCCGCTTGTGTTGTGGCCGAAACGTCATGAGACTATTATTGTGTTATTTTATCAATTTATTATTTTATTCTCATTCTACGTGACTTTACCGAAAGAACCAAAAAAGATGAATCCTTGCAGTCACGAAAGCTTTAAATCGAAAAATGTCTATAAGCTGTTTCATTTGCAGGTGTAGTGGCAAATCGAGCAACAAGTATGGACGCAAAGTAACGAGGGTAGCTGTTTGTAGAGTTGAGTGTGGCACTAGATATGGCCGGGAGGGCCAGCAGTAGGATACACAGCAGGAGAATTGCCATCTCTAGAATATCCGGGGTACACCCAGATTAACACACAAGCGGAAAAGAAAAAATATATATACTTGTAGGCCGAGCGCGAGAAAACGTCTTGCCGCACTCGTCACACATGCACGGCTTCTCGCCCATGTGCTAGGGTTGAACAACGCCCCCCCAGACAACAGATTCTTGGCTGTTGTGTGCTCAGCTGAACCGCTTGCACCACCTCCTTTCCCCGCCGCAGGATGGTGTTCGAGCTAGCCCTCCTTGAGCTCAGCTCACGACTGGAATGTCGTTTCTTGGCATCTCGTGTCTCTGCTGCCAGACCAAACGGCCCCACTGAAGCCCACACAGGGGCCTCTTCATTCACGACCCTTGGCCGTCTTGACGATCTCCGTGAAATTTTCCAGGAACATAGCTTGGGGTCCGTCGCAAAGTTGCCTTGGTAGGAACACAGCAGGAACACAGCTTGGGGTCCGTGGCAATGTTGCCTTGGCAGGAACACAGCTTGGGGTCTGTGGCAATGTTGCCTTGGCAGGAACACAGCTTGGAGTCCGTGGCAATGTTGCCTTGGCATGAACACAGCTTGGAGTCCGTGGCAATGTTGCCTTGGCAGGAACACAGCTTGGGGTCTGTGGCAATGTTGCCTTGGCAGGAACACAGCTTGGAGTCCGTGGCAATGTTGCCTTGGCAGGAACACAGCTTGGAGTCCGTGGCAATGTTGCCTTGGCAGGAACACAGGTTGGGGTCCACGGCAATGTTGCCTTAGCAGGAACCCAGCTTGGGGTCCGTGGCAATGCCGCCTTGGCAGGAACACAGCTTGTGGTCCGTCGCACTATTAACTAGGCCTCACTCAGGCTGCGCCAGGTGCACTGTCAACCAGGCCTCACTCAGGCTGCGCCTTGTGCATGATTAACCAGGCCTCTCTCAGGCTGTGCCAGGTGCACGATTCGCCAGGCCTCACCCAGGCAGTGTCATGTGCACAACCAGGCCTCACTCAGGCCGCGCCACGTGTATGACCAACTAAGCCTCACTCAGGCAGTGTCACGTGCACTATTAACTAGGCCTCTCTCAGGCTGCGCCAGGTGCACGATTTACTCGGCCTCACTCAGGCTGTGTCATGTGCAGTATTACCTAGGTCTCACTCAGGCTGCGCCAGGTGCATGATTAACTAGGCCTCACGCTGCTCCAGGTGCACTATTAGCTAGGCCTCACTCACGCTGCGCCATGTGCATGATTAGCTAGGCCTCACTCAGGCAGTGTCACGTGCTCGACCAACCAGGCCCCACCCAGGCCGCACCAGGTGCACGATCAGCCAGGCCTTGCACGGTCAGTCGGGCATATTTGCGGAACACACCACGCCGCCGTTGACCCTGGCCATTGACCGAGCAACCCAACGTTCCCACCAGCTCCCTCTGCAGGAATAAGTTTAAACAGCGCAGTACGGGCTGGGGGCGCGAGGGGGAGGGGCTGTGTCCCGGAAGTTCTCATTGTGCCTTGGCCGCAGCGTTCGCACGTGAGCCGGAAGTATTCCCCTGAATAGGGGAAATCCTCACGAAGCCGGAAGCGGCTGCTGTAGGCGAGAGCGCTCCCCGCGATGTCAGAATGCGGGCAGCAGCGATGCGAAGAGGAGCAGAGCGAGCGAGGGCAGCAGCAGTGCGAGGAGGAGCAGCGGAGGGAGCGAGGGTACCAGCCACAACAAAGGGAGCTGCGCGGGCGGCAGGAGGAGCAGCAGGAGGAGGCCTCCTCACCTCACTTCTCGCGAGATCGACACGTGCGCTTCTTCTCACGCTGCCTGCAGGTCCTGCCTGAGCGATACGCGGCCCTCGAGACGAGCAGGTGAAGGGCGAGCAGGGCTGGGGAACTTAAAATCGAGTTGATCCGTGTCCCTGCACTGCCCTCTACTCGCCACGCTGTAGCTCCCCGCGGTGGGTCGCTGGCGTCGGTTGGTAATGGATTGCCCGCCTGGCATTAAGAGTTTGTATTCGATATCATTGGTCATGATACGGTCAGCATACGCGTGTGTAGTGGTGTGCGTACTGCACACTGATTCTGAGCCCGGTTGACTAGATTTCCGGCCATTTTACCAGTCCTGTACCACCTCCCCTCTGTCGTCTCAGCTTTAACTGAGTGTCTTTGCGATGTGTGACAAGCGGTCGTGCGTGATGATCGCCACACCAACAGGCGACCTTAAAAGCACGGTTGTCACCTCAAGTTGGCACCTTCTATTAGCACTGTTGGCTACATACAGTGCGAAAGAAGTTCGGCATTCATAATAGGTGTTTCTTACAGCACTTGCCGCAAAAGTATATAATGATATACACGGCATCGTTATTGTTATGTGCGTCTGAATGTACGTGTATATATGCTCCTGTGTGAAAGAATCAACGCCTTAAGCAGCAGTACGAGCCTCCTGCCGTATTTGTTCACATTCCATTTTGTGTCTTCATACTCGAAGGAGCAGGTATAGAACACGTCCGCTGAGGAGATGGAGCGATGGAAACCGTCCGTGTGTAGATCCTAGATGGATTGTTGAATCGCAGTGGTTAGTTGTGTGAGCAGCTTGGGGGGAGGCCTTTTATCTAGCAGTGGATTGACCGTGACGATGGCCCAAATTGAGCTGTGGGGATGCTCTCATTTCTGTGAGGCGGCAATCATCTCTGCAAAGCCCATGCAGTGCTGTCTGACCATCATGCCAAGACCATGGCTGAATGAGTGGCCCGTACCTTATGAGCCTGCCAGTGAGTGGGTGCGCTTGGGCTGAGCTGTGAACTGCTCTTGTGTTGCTTTGCAGGTTGACAGTCGCGTTTTTTGCTCTCTCTGGTTTGGACGTCCTCAATGCCTTGGGCCAAGTTGATAAAGAGAGAATAATTGAGTGGATTTACTCTCTGCAAGTTCTTCCAAATGAAAACAGTACGTATACATGTAAAACATGCACTTAGTTTTGATGTTTTCCGTTGTTGAGCTGCCAGCCAAATACAGCCTAGACCAGGGCATTCTAATGAAACATTCTCATGTTCTAGAAAGCTCGTGCAGACATGAGGCTTTGTTCACATTCCAGCTGTTGGTAAATCAATTCAATTCAAGTGCCTCCATTAAAGCCGGTGGAACACACCAATTATGGAACTGTTGCGGAAGAATTGTGTGGTCTGCGTGATGTGTCCAATACTTGTGTGGAAAAGAAACTAATTTCTGCCAAGACCAAAGACGGCCAATACAGGTTTTTTACAGGTTTTTTTTAAAGAGATAACAAATAACGATTCTGATAGCATTTTCATGATAATTCCGTTATGAAAAAATAAATATGGAAGTACTGCTTTAACCGCTTCTCACCTCCACAGATTCCAACCTCCACTGCTGTGGCTTTAGAGGGTCCTCTCAACTCGGCACAACACGCTTGTCACAGGTACCTTTTGTCATCCACCAGTGAAACAAGCACATGTGTCAAGTGTGTATTAAGTAGCACACACATTCATTCTGTATCGAGAATGCAAAGGATTGGAAATGTATTCTCCAACTACAGAACTGGGGTGCTTTTGGTGTTGATTGCGTTCTCCCACAGGTTAATCTTAGTTGGATACAACCTTCATGCTGGCCAAGTGTATACTATGAAGCCATGTCCTCTCATCTGACACAAAACTCACTGCAGTGTTGAAAGAGGCAACAGAGGAAAGGCTCATCGTTCTCAAACGTGCCGTACCCTACACGACAGCTCTTAAAGCAGCCTGACAACCATAAATATTGCCAACGTGGGGAATTGTTGCAATTTACAAGCTGCATAGCGCAGCATGTAAAATAAGTCAAATACAGTAAAACCTTGGATTGCGAGCGTAATTCGTTCCGGAAACATGTTTGTAATCCAAAGCACTTGTATATCAAAGCACTCGTATATCAGTTGTGCTCACGGGATGCTCTGCAGACAAAGCGTATACGTACACTACTCGCATTGCAAGACCTCTCGCTCGTTTATCAAATTAATATTTATTTAAAAATGTTGCTCATCTTGCAAAACACTCGCAGACCAAGTTACTCGCAATCCAAGGTTTTACTGTAGTACACAACGCAGAACTCTGTCTTTCACCTTTGTTTTATTTATGGAGACATGAGTGTCCACCTGGTGTCTGAGCCTCCTTCTGCAATATCTCTCTGCTCTGGGGCCAGGTCACGGGCGAGATGCATCCATATGACTCGGCGCACATCGCCATGACCTACACGGGTTTGGCATGCCTCATCATTCTGGGCGACGACCTGAGTCGTGTCGACAAGAGAGCCTGCCTCGCGGGGCTCAGGGCTCTGCAGCTGCTGGACGGCAGGTGATGGTGCCTCCCACACCTGGTCAAAACCGGTGTGCGTTAACTTAACCCATCATCCCTCTGGGGTTAGTAAACAAAAAGCACCACTTTGTGAGAAGCTGAAAATCATTTCTGTATGGATTTACTTGTCCGGTGATAAGACCATGTAATTATTACCTCTGGTTCAAGGTTAATCGTTCATTTAAATGGGAACCCTTGACCCCTTTTTAGTTTATATTACGATACACTCTGAGATAGGTGACCATAAGTCAAATCTGTAATACACAGTGGTCAATGGTGGCATAGTGGTTAGTGAACTGCACTATGAACCCTACCACCCAAGGTCAAATGATACTTGACCTGGTTCTGGCTCCCCTTCACCATCCCACTTTAACCAGCTAGGTGTAGTATAGTCAAACAACTACCTTGTATAATACAGTGGGGGGCTTTCATCCAGTAGTGGATTGACAAGGGCCTATAAATAATTTGTATTGTTAATGTCACACAAGTCATTTAATGTTAGCCTGATGGACACAAGGAAAGTAAATCTTTTAATTATAAATGATAGGGTACATAATTTATCTGTATTTTTGTAACAATGGTGGAGAACATTAAAGCACAATAAGGTATTAAAGTCGTGCAGGTATATTAACCATATAATACACGCTGTCTGCTTCACAGCAGAAGTCCAAGAATCTTGGACTTCTGCTGTGAAGTAAGCCATTGTGTGGCAGCATCGTCCACAAATTTTCGAATTTTAAGATTTGCAAATTAGTACATTTGGAAGCACATAGCATTCATCACCAAATGTTCAAAATCTAGCAGCACCTTTCTGAAAAAGAGTGTTGAAACTAAGTGAGGCTTTTCTGGATAAACAGGTATAATAATACAGGTCGACCTCGCTTCGTGCTCAAGATGTGTTCATGGAGAAGTGAGCTAAAATCAAATCAGCACTAAAATGGATCATTATACCATTGTATATATGGAGATGCGTTCCCGACAGCGTTATTTCTTTCGCATCAGCAATATATGGTGGCTTCATTGGGGTATCGGGAGTAGCTTTAACAATAATACAGATGCTAAGCATTTCATATTTGTATTATTATTAAAATAACATCAATAAGTATTGGAAACTACTGACTAGTAAATTCTACTCTACTCCTACAAGGCAGCGGTGGGACGACAAGGTTGGAGCTGCTGCGGGCCCCTATCTGGGTCTTAGTGATGCTCCCAATACAAATTTCTGTGGTGAGGTTTATTTTAAGTGGAGCCTGAGACTGTCCTGGTCTTGTGAGTCCTCATATAGCTAAATGTACTGTAATAACATTGAACATTTTATTGTAAATAAAAAATTTTTATTCAAGTGTGACCACGAAATTGTGAAAATCAAATCGTGGGGGGGTGTGATTTGGTTGGCTCAGCGTACGTCGCTCTCATTGGCTGAGCAAATTATGGGAGCGGGAACATTTCTTTTGCAGACGCTGCTGCGTGTTTTCACTCTTTAAGGGATTTATAGACGTTTTGATTTTTTTTCATAATATTTATCCAGGAGAAAAAGAACACTGACGAATCGCCGTTCTACGGGGTTCCACTCGGCAAGATTTGTCTGTATATTTTCAGTGGTAACACACTGCCATGACTTTACTGACAATATTGTTTTCATGGTAATCTTTCCCTTCAGTTTTTCTGCAGTGCCAGAGGGCAGTGAGAATGACATGCGGTTTGTATACTGTGCATCCTGCATCTGCTACATGCTGGATGACTGGTCTGGTATGGATTTACAAAAAACCATCGACTACATACGAAACAGCCTGGTGAGTGAACAAGTACATCAAACGCGTCCCACGTAACGTGCGTAATGCGAAACCTGCATCTGTATATGTCTTCTGACATCACACCGCACGACAGGACTAATGAATTTGTGTTAATTTAGATACAGAAGCTATAGCACTGTGGACTTGTCATTTTCACGTCTAAGCTGAAGACTTTATTTTGAAGAAGAGTTGAAAAAAAATTCATCAGCTGACAACTCTGGTAGTGTAATTTGCAAGATTGTTCTGGGGCACTAAAATGGCAAACCAAGTAAAATAAACTAAAGCAATGCAGCAAATAGAAATCATGGAAAAAACAACTGCTTTACATGAGAAATAAAAAATATGCACAAACATAAATTCATATAAAATAATAAATTCCCTGTAGTGCAAGCTGGCTCAGGCAGATTATTTTTAGGCTGATCCCAGTACAGTTAAGTCACATAAACATTAAACAAATTAACCTTATGGCAGGACCCTGGGGTCCCGAATAAACGGAAGTCAAAATCGTAATTTATTTATTTTTGCCGACTCCGTCCCACCGCACACATAAACGCCGCGACCCACCTGGCGCAGATCATTCTGTTATCATGTCGTCCAAGCGCAGCGAGGACGAATGCGCAGAAGAAACAAAACGTTGAAACTTTGATTAGCGCATCGTGTAGAGCTCGTCGAGAGGAATATATTGCCGTATCGTACGCCATCAACAGACATAAAATGACGTGGCAACGCAGTTTATGGGACCCTGTGGTCCCGCCATAAGGTTCAAATACATGATGGCTTTTGTGTAAACAGACAAGGATATATGTCAAATGCAATTGCAAGTGAAGTTATGATGAAGCAACGGCTTGGCATCAAATTGTGATTTAGATAGGAGAGCAACCAATGACTTGGGTATTTTTTGGAGAAACACAATTATGATATGCAGAAGTTGATGGATGAGAGCAGATTGGAGTGCTTTTGGAAATCTTAATAGTGAAAATAAATATACCAATGTGCCTACATTTTTTTTTTAATCGGCATGTATTATCCTGCTGTGACATGGATCAGAAACTTGGACATTGGCAAAGAAAATTGAGCTTAAGTTTAAAATTACACATACATGTAGAGGTTCACGCCTGGAATAACACTGACAAATAGGAAGAGGAACACATGGATTGGAGATCTCGCACATTAGCGACATGAATTGACGTTCAAGAAAAGTAAGTAGGCTTAGGCAGGACACATTACGAGAAAGTATATTTGATAGTAGATCAGAATAACTACTGAGTTGCAGCCAGAGAAGGGAATATGTCCAGGAGGAGACACCTTCTGCTGCAATGGAGTGATGAAACCTGCAGCTGCTGTGCATTGCGTGAGCATAAATGATGATGGTCACTTGGGTAGGTCTTCATCCAATAATGGATTGAGTATGGCTGCTACTGACTGATATTTTAATGTATATATTTTTTTATTTTTCACCAGGGATTGTTGCTTGAGATGGAACACCTTGTTTGAAAGGGGGTCCAGTTTGTCAACTGACACGTAGTAAATATGTAATTACATGTATACAAACATTTCAATACAATTACAGTTGAGTTACAGAAACATAAAACATTTAGGTTCATGAGGAAGAATTAAACTCGAGATATTGTGGTGCCTTGTGATTGTAAAATGTACTAAATGGTCTCTGTTTTTGTGTTTTACTCAGAGCTATGATAGTGGATTGGCCCAGGGTCCTGGACTGGAGTCTCATGGTAAGCCTGTAGCTGCACATATCAATTGGTCATTGTTCTTCTTAATTAAACATTATTTGGCGTACCCAGCATGAAAGCCAGACAAACGGGGTTGGGGGGTAGACTTCATACGCAACCACATTCCTGCAAATAGGGAAAACAAGTTGGTTGACCCGGGCAACACGTTTAAGTAGAATTTTTTATTTCGTTGCATTACATTATACCTTCTTGGGACCTCCTTTGCAAGTACCAAAATATGAGAATAGCTTTTCCCCTTTGAAACTGATTGGTCCACACCAGAGACAGCTTTCTTTTGAGCCTAGTATCAAAACGGTGTTAGACCAGAGGACACCGTTTTGAGACTAAGCTCAAAAGAAAGCTGTCTCTGGTGTGGACCAATCAGTTTCAAAGACAATGCATATATTATCAGAGTACTTTTTTATTTGAATTCTGACCACAAGTATTGTGGTTAATGTAGACATGATTCCTTGTAAAAAGTTTAACTTTGGAGTTTTAACATCTTAGCACCTGTCTTGTTGCCAGAAAAAATGGGAAAACCTATTCTCATACATTATACCTTTCTTCCCTCTTCTTCCCCGTCCTTATAAATATGCTAAAGTCGTAACTTGCTGTGGTGCTTCCATCCTTCCTGCCGTTTCGCTGTTACCTCCAACTCTCTGAGTTGCATTGACCTTATGGGTGCCTCTGCATTAACGTGCTGGGGTCTCACTAACATGGCCACCTCCGCTCCCTTAGCCTCGATGTATCGATGGTTCTGGCTGTGTGATGGGCTGTGTGTCTCACTGGCATGACCACCGTTGCAGTGGTTCTCTTGCATTGATGCGCTTGCCTCTCACAGCGCAGTTGGCAGTGCCGCAGCTTGTGTTACACATAGACATGACATTAACTTGCTAATCTCCCTAATCTCTCTGCCTAATATCTCCCAACAACATATTGCTAATCTTCCATTAACACTGCTGTTGTGCGCATATGCGGGGATGATACTCTTATGCGGCGACGGAAGCTCATTTCATGTTAATCACTCTCCCTAATCTCTCTCTCCCTAATTACCCCATTAACACTCATACACACATCACTTACATGTATGTGTTCTGTAATCCATGGTTCTCTTCTGATCGAACATGCTTCTCTCGCCTTACCTTGTGCCTGTTTCAACTTATTCGATTTGCTTTGTCAATGCCATTTTTCATCTGTATGTCAAGACAGGTGTTATATATTGACTTAAAGCTTTCGTGACTGCAGGGATTGATTTTCTTTGGGTCTTTCAGTAAAGCCACGTAGATAGAAAAATATTCATATAAATATTTATATGAATATTTTTTCAAAATAAAATGTTTCTATCTACGTGGCTTTACTGAAAGACCCAAAGAATAGGTGTTATATACCCTGATAAAAAATGTGTTTTTTTTAGACATTGCTTGCTGCTTTTCATTTTCAAGTTCAGTTTTGCAAAAACATTAACACCTGTGTGCTTCTTTATATCACCGTTCTACCCTAGTTAGCTTTCAATAACTGCTATCTAACTTGGTGTGCATTGTCTTCACTCCATTTTTGTTTCTCTGGCAGATATCTTCAGTTGTTTAAAACATATCTGAAGTGCTGCTGTATATACTTTCAATGTATTATTTCAATTATTTACACTACACCTTAATGTATAAGAAATAAAACCAGCGGATCAGCTAGAGTTAAAGTTTAAGCTAAGATAATCATAAAGGCAGTGTAGCTTTGAATTAATCTCTGGGCCCCAGAAACCTGAGTAATTGATGTTGACATTGTATTTCCAGGTGGGTCCACGTTCTGTGCGATTGCCTCATTGTGCCTCATGGAGAAGCTTCACTCCGTATTGTCTGATCGGCAGCTGCGGAGAATACAGCGCTGGAGTATATTACGCCAGCAAAGTGGCTTCAACGGTCGACCTAACAAACCTGTGGATACGTGTTACTCCTTTTGGGTTGGAGCCACACTGCAGGTAGGCGGGCCTTGTGCTGTTGAGCGTCTGTTCACGTCATGCACAGTCAACACATTCCCTTACTCCAAGCATTGTTGTTCAATCTATTAGTTTGTGCTGCGCTCTGAGTGCGTACCCACTTGATAAGGTATGAGTGTTTCCTGATGCACCTACCAACGAATCTGTTGGCTTGGTCACCTGGAGCCTAAGTGCAGAACGACCGATGCAATTCTAGATATGGTATAAGTTACATTTTTCGTCTAAAATTTTTACTACTGTTATTTACTATATATATTTTAAAGAGCTATATAACTATTTTTTCAGAAGCGATATGGTCACAAATGATATCTCTGTGAAGTTGCTTATCACGTGGAAATGTATAGCAGCCAAATACTCAACTCTAAAGGTGTAACAAAAAAGGTTTTTTTTTAGAAAAAAAGCATCGTAAAGTTAGTCGTGGTTAATGTGTTCCATTGTCTGCACTTACAACTACACTACTACTCGCATTTAGCCATTATATTGACTTCACAAGAGTCATAGAATATCAGTGACTGTCCACTTTTTAAAAAAAAGTTGTATATATTCTCCACCTTGATGCTAAGTAATTCATGGCATGAGTGACAGTGTTGAATACACAGTTATGAATGCTGTTACAGAAGGAATGAGGTTGTTCATGTACGACACTGGAGACCGGAAATCTCAAGGATCCCTCAAGTGACAAGTTAATGATTGGCAGATTAAGGCAGAGCAAAACGAAAATCAGACCATGCTGATACCTACACTATTACCGAGACCATAGGAAGCCACTGCTTGCTCCTTGTGAGTCAATATTGGATGACTTGTGGTGCTAATCAAACATGACCCATCACTGCCTGAGTTAAATATATATATCCCAACAGAAGCTTCCTGTGCCTGGACTGGTGCCCAGACACCAGAAGACCCTTTGCCTCATCTCGCTCTCTTTTATTTGTGAGATGACCTTTATACATTTTCCATACTAGTTGTAGTTTTTGGCATGTGGGCATGATTCTGGTGACATGAGAATTAAGAGGACTGCAAGAATCAATATGCCACAGTCTACAAGGGACTGTGGTGTCTAACCTCTTTGCTGGTGAAAGATTAGGTCGGTGATATTAATACTTTCAACACTATTTTTGGGTTGCGTCACCTAGTAAAACACACTTGGTGTGGTATTGGTTGACCCATGGACAACCAGGCATGAGGTAACGTAACCAATGACTTGTGATACCTGGTTTTTATCCCTGTTTAAACCTTTTTTTTATTTGCATCAACACCAACTCTCATTTCAAACAATGTATTTAAAATATTAACCAAATGTTTTTGTTTTTCAGCTTCTCGACATATTCCGGTTCACGGATTTTGAAAAGAACAGACAATACATTTTATCAACTCAGGACAACCTCGTGGGTGGATTTGCAAAGTGGCCAGACAGTCATCCAGGTGTGTTAATTTACAATTCTTTATATAGCTTGCATGTGGTTACTGCTTATTTTCTGTCATATTGAAATACCATTTATTAAAAGGGACACTAGTTTTTCCTCTGTTTTTAAAGCAAGTGTAAAACTCATACTTAAATTGTTCTTAGAATAACAATATTTAGGAACTTGTATACAGTTCCCATATAACTTGAGCACTTCTGAATTTTAACACAGCTTTTCAGCGTGGAGTTGTACTTTATTAATTTGAATTCATTTTGCCACTGTCGTTTACCAATGTTGTGTGTGATGCACATGTACAGATGCCCTCCATTCATATTTTGGTGTGTGCGGCCTGTCTCTGCTGGGGGAGGCGGGCCTCGAAGAGCTCCACCCTGCACTCAACATGACCACAAGGGCCTTTGGGCACATTGTGATGCTGCACCGGCGCTGGCGTCGGGCCAGCTAAGCTGGCGTGGCTCAGGGCGGTTGCGCTTCTCGCGGTTTCCCTTTTGTGTGGATGTGAGGTAGCTAGCACAGCCCCGACTAGCTGTGGAGTGATGGACCAGCAAGGGTTAAGGGTATATTTATTTTGGTTGGCCAGGTGAGAGTTCAAGAGACCAGAATAGTCTCACTTTTGCAGCGTGGCCCTGGTCACCAAAATGACAAGCGAAACAAAATACAATTACAGCAATTTAGCAACTATAAATGAGTAAAAAACATTTGTCACATGAGAAATCAAAGATATTCTATAAACATACATCAATGTTTAATACTAAATTCCCTGTAGAGAAAGTTGGTTCGGAACAATTGTTTAGTCTGATCACAGTACAATTACATTTAAGTTATAGAAACATTAACAGCGATAGGGTGACTTTTATTTTAATATGTAAGCAGATGTATGTCAAATGGATATCAATTGCAGTAGTGGCACGAATGGAATGGTGACCCCATGCAGACTCGCAGTGATGAGCACTAGGCTGATTTAGATAGATTTTGCCTCCTTTTTTGGTTTTGTCATCTTTTTAAGTGCGGGATCAAATTATGATATGCTGTAACCAATTTTATCAACTGACAGTATCAACAACTAAATATAATGCTTCCAGGTGTTTTAATGTTGTGTGATTGTTTTTTATTTATTGCCATGCTCAGTATTATGTAAGCATTTTTGTAAAGGTCACCTACATGTTAGTTTTTTCATCACTGCAGCAGCAAGGATTATGCAAATGAACATGCCATTATACTGCCCCTAAATTGTTTATAGTATCTGGATCGGGGTGAGGGTCAAGGGGTAGGGGTTAAGGGTTGGGGGTTAGGGATTTTGTGTTTAGCGGTTAGGGGTTTACGGTTTGGCTCTGAGTTAGGCTTTGGGTTGGAGATTGGGTTAGGTGTTTTAAGGGGTAGGGTGGGGTTATGGTTTTTGGGTTATGGGATTTTAGGGTGTAGGTTAGGGGGTTTGGGTGCTGGTTAGGTGTTAAGGGGTTAGCTTTAGGGGTTAGGGGAATTCAGAGCCCTTTTTGGGGATGGGAATTAGGCTTCCCTTACAGGAATTAAGGTCCTTTCCGCTTTTAGGCTTTTCCGGGTTGTTAGATAATTTGTAACTACATTTATTGATACTTCCCAGAAGGTTAAATCTTGACTTGAAGCTTTCATGACTGCAGAATTCATATTCTTGGTTTGCGATCAAAACGTAGTAGTTTTTTGTTTATTTTATTTTTATTATTTTGAACCTATCTACGTGACTTTACCGAAAGATCAAAGAATATGAATTTTTAGAAGGTTTTTTTGAAATCTCGGAAAAATGTTGTGAATTGCAACATTTTCTTTCGTATGTATATAATTTCACATTCAACCTTAAAACACATTGCTTAAGGCTCGTGAAGTGAACCGTGTTATTCAATGGGAAAGCTTTGAAAGCACACAGGATTGAATTTCGCATGTATATGATGATTATTATGTTTATCTTTTACTGCTTTTAATTCTCTAAATTGCAGTATGCAAAGCACAATTTACGACATTTTTTCCGTTTTACAGGCTATTCGGCTTTAGGCTCTATTTTTTTTTAGTTTAAAATCGCCTTGACAAGATATGAAAAATGCATGCAAACTTATTGCCGTGCGATGTTTTAAGAGTTAAGATTTAAATAGGGTTAGGGGTTGGGTTAGGGGTTTGGTTAGGGGTTAGGGTTGGGGTTTAGGGTTAAGGTTGGGGTCAAGGGTTAGGTTTAGGGTAGCGGTTTGGGGTTGGGGCCTAGGGTTAGGGGTTAAGGTTGGGGTTAGGAGTTGGGGTCAGGGTCAGAGGTTGGTTAGTGGTTGGGGGTTAGGATTAGGTGTTCGGGGTTAAGGGTTAGGGATTAGGTGTTTAGGGTTCGGGGTTAGGGTTGGGTTTGGTGTTTGGTTAGGGGTTAGGGTTGCGGTTATGGGTTAGGATTCGGGGTTAAGGTTAGTTAAGGGTTAGCGTTTAGGATTGGGTTAGGGTGAGGGTTTATGGTTCTTGGTTAGGGTTGCATTAGGTGATAGGGTTAGGGTTGCGTTTATTGGTTAGGGTTAGTGGGTTAGGGTTAGAGGGTGGGGGTTGGGGTTTGGGTTGGGTGAGGGTTATAGGTTGGGGGTTAGCGTTAGGGGTTAAGGGTTAGGGTGAGGTTTTGGGGTTAGGGTTGGGGTTAGGGTTTTAGGGTTAGGGGTTTTAGGGGTTGGGGTTTGGGGTTAGGGTTAAGGTTGGGGTTAGGGTTTTAGGGTTAGGGTTTTTGGGTTAGGGTGTTAGTGTTAGGGGCTTAGGGTGTTAGGGGGTTAGGGTGTTAGGGTGTTGGGGGTTGGGGGTTTAGGGGTTGGGGTTTAGGGTTGGAGGGTTAGGGTTTTAGGGTTGTTAGGGTTAGGGTTGTTAGGGTTAGGGGTGTTAGTGTTAGGGTGTTAGGAGGTTAGGGGTTAGGGTTTTAGGGGTTGGGGGTTTGGGGCTAGGGGGTTGGTGTTTAGGGTTGGAGGGTTAGGGTTATTAGGGTTAGGGTTATAAGGGTTAGGGTTATTAGGGTTAGGGTTGTTAGGGTTAGGGTTTTTGGGTTAGGGTTTTTGGGTTAGGGTTTTAGGGTTGAAGGGTTAGGGTGTTAGTGTTAGGGGGTTAGGGGTTTGGGGCTAGGGGTTGGGGTTCAGGGTTGGAGGGTTAGGGTTGTTAGGGTTAGGGTTGTTAGGGTTAGGGTTGTTAGGGTTAGGGTTGTTAGGGTTATTAGGGTTGTTAGGGTTATTAGGGTTGTTAGGGTTATTAGGGTTGTTAGGGTTATTAGGGTTGTTAGGGTTATTAGGGTTGTTAGGGTTATTAGGGTTAGGGTTATTAGGGTTAGGGTTATTAGGGTTAGGTTTATGGTTATTAGGGTTAGGGTTATTAGGGTTAGGGTTGTTAGGGTTATTAGGGTTAGGGTTATTAGGGTTAGGGTTATTAGGGTTAGGGCTATTAGGGTTAGGGGTTAGGTTAGGGTTTTGGGGTTAGGGTTTTGGGGTTAGGTTTTTGGGGTTAGGGTTTTAGGGTTAGGGTTTGGGTTAGGGGGTTAGGGGGTTTATGGTTTTTAGGGTTAGGGTTTTTGGGGTTAGGGGGTTTAGGGTTTTTAGGGTTAGGGTTTTTAGGGTTAGGGTTTTTAGGGTTAGGGTTTTTAGGGTTATTAGGGTTAGGGTTTTAGGGTTAGGGTTGTTAGGGTTAGGGTTGTTAGGGTTAGGGTTGTTAGGGTTAGGGTTGTTAGGGTTAGGGTTGTTAGGGTTAGGGTTATTAGGGTTAGGGTTATTAGGTTAGGGTTATTAGGGTTAGGGTTTTAGGGTTAGGGTTTTTAGGGTTATTAGGATTTTAGGGTTATTAGGATTTTAGGGTTATTAGGATTTTAGGGTTGTTAGGGTTAGGGTTATTATGGTTAGGGTTATTAGGGTTACTAGGGTTAGGGTTGTTAGGGTTATTAGGGTTGTTAGGGTTATTAGGGTTGTAAGGGTTGTTTGGGTTATTAGGGTTGTTTGGGTTGTTAGGGTTGTTTGGGTTATTAGGGTTGTTTGGGTTGTTAGGGTTGTTAGGGATTAGGGGTTAGGGTTTAGGGTTGGGTGTTGGGGGGTTGGGGGGTTGGAGGGTTATGGTTATTAGGGTTAGGGTTATTAGGGTTAGGGTTATTAGGGTTAGGGTTATTAGGGTTAGGGTTATTAGGGTTAGGGTTATTAGGGTTAGGGTTATTAGGGTTAGGGTTATTAGGGTTAGGGTTATTAGGGTTAGGGTTATTAGGGTTAGGGTTATTAGGGTTAGGGTTATTGGGGTTAGGGTTATTGGGGTTAGGGTTAGGGGTTAGGGGTTTGGGTTTAGGGTTTTAGGGTTAGGGTTTTAGGGTTAGGGTTTTAGGGTTAGGGTTTTAGGGTTAGGGTTTTAGGGTTAGGGTTTTAGGGTTAGGGTTTTAGGGTTAGGGTTTTAGGGTTAGGGTTTTAGGGTTAGGGTTTTAGGGTTTTAGGGTTAGGGTTTAGGGTTCGGGTTTTAGGGTTAGGGTTTAGGGTTAGGGGTTAAGGGTTAGGGGTTAAGGGTTTAGGGTTTAGGGTTAGGGTTTTAGGGTTAGGGTTTTTGGGTTAGGGTTTTAGGGTTTAAGGGTCAGGGTTTAAGGGTTAGGGTTAGGGGTTAGGGGTTAGGGTTAGGGTTTGGGGTTAGGGGTTAGGGTTAAGGGTTAGGGTTTTGGGTTAGGGTTTCGGGTTATTAGGGTTAGGGGTTAGGGGTTAGGGTTAGAGGGTTAGGGTTAGAGGGTTAGGGTTAGAGGGTTAGGGTTAGAGGGTTAGGGTTATTAGGGTTGTTAGGGTTGTTAGGGTTATTAGGGTTTTGATTTAAAGCTTTCGTGACTGCAGTAATTCATATTCTTAGTTTTTTCGGTAAAGTCACGTTGAAGAGAAACAACAAAATAAAGTCACGTTGAAGAGAAACAACAAAATAACAAAATATATATATATATTTATATAACAAAATATATATATTTTGTTATTTTGTTGTTTCTCTTCAACGTGACTTTACCGAAAAAACTAAGAATATGTTATTAGGGTTGTTAGGGTTATTAGGGTTGTTAGGGTTATTAGGGTTGTTAGGGTTGTTTGGGTTATTAGGGTTGTTTGGGTTGTTTGGGTTGTTAGGGTTGTTTGGGTTATTAGGGTTGTTTGGGTTGTTTGGGTTGTTAGGGTTGTTTGGGTTATTAGGGTTAGGGTTATTAGGGTTAGGGTTATTGGGGTTAGGGTTATTGGGGTTAGGGTTAGGGGTTAGGGGTTTGGGTTTAGGGTTTTAGGGTTAGGGTTTTAGGGTTAGGGTTTTAGGGTTAGGGTTTTAGGGTTAGGGTTTTAGGGTTAGGGTTTTAGGGTTAGGGTTTTAGGGTTAGGGTTTTAGGGTTAGGGTTTTAGGGTTAGGGTTTTAGGGTTTTAGGGTTAGGGTTTAGGGTTCGGGTTTTAGGGTTAGGGTTTAGGGTTAGGGGTTAAGGGTTAGGGGTTAAGGGTTTAGGGTTTAGGGTTAGGGTTTTAGGGTTAGGGTTTTTGGGTTAGGGTTTTAGGGTTTAAGGGTCAGGGTTTAAGGGTTAGGGTTAGGGGTTAGGGGTTAGGGTTAGGGTTTGGGGTTAGGGGTTAGGGTTAAGGGTTAGGGTTTTGGGTTAGGGTTTCGGGTTATTAGGGTTAGGGGTTAGGGGTTAGGGTTAGAGGGTTAGGGTTAGAGGGTTAGGGTTAGAGGGTTAGGGTTAGAGGGTTAGGGTTATTAGGGTTGTTAGGGTTGTTAGGGTTATTAGGGTTTTGATTTAAAGCTTTCGTGACTGCAGTAATTCATATTCTTAGTTTTTTCGGTAAAGTCACGTTGAAGAGAAACAACAAAATAAAGTCACGTTGAAGAGAAACAACAAAATAACAAAATATATATATATATATTTATATAACAAAATATATATATTTTGTTATTTTGTTGTTTCTCTTCAACGTGACTTTACCGAAAAAACTAAGAATATGTTATTAGGGTTGTTAGGGTTATTAGGGTTGTTAGGGTTATTAGGGTTGTTAGGGTTGTTTGGGTTATTAGGGTTGTTTGGGTTGTTTGGGTTGTTAGGGTTGTTTGGGTTATTAGGGTTGTTTGGGTTGTTTGGGTT